CTATCTATCTATCTATCTATCTATCTATCTATCTATCTATCAATAAAAACATTTTATGAAGATTCCGCCTCCAGCCAGCAGGGGGCGCTGCTGTAAACTGAGAGAACAGCAGCTATCAGCAAGGAAGATGACGCGCTGACAAGAGAAGAACCGACTTGCGAAAAAACGGGAGATTATAAAGGCGACACGGAAGGTGGAAATTGCTGTGGACGGACGAACGGCGGGAAATTTTTGAAAGTTTGAGATTTTTGTATCCATATATTTCATTTTTCTTTTTGAATTTGGTGGTTGGCATAAACTGGAATGCGACTGGATCGGGATGACTACTCAGGTAGATTACAACGAGGATATGGATTTTGATGACTGGACTCCGGTAGGTAGAGGAGGAGGAAAAGGTAAGGGCAAAGCTGTGAGAGATGACAGAGAGCTTGGCAGCCACAGTAATAAGAGAAGCCTTGAAGAGTGTAGTTCAGAGGATGAAAACAGACTGGTTAGAAGGAAAGTGATAAATGAGGAATTTAAAGTCATACTTAAATTCAAGAAAGAAGATGAGAACGTGAATCTAAGCCCTATAGCGATATCTAAAGATATAAAAAAGAAACTAGGTGAGGTGGAGTTTGCGAAAATGCTGCGTGATGGGAATCTGTTGATCAAATGTAAATCTGAAGAACAAAAAAATAAAGCTATGCAGATTGATAACATTTGCAAAAAGGTTGTTAGTGAAAAGAAAATTATTGGAGAAAACAAGGTATCACGTGGGGTTATCACTGGTATTCCACTTGAGGAAGATCTGGAAAAACTTAAAAGAAATATTCATGATGTAGAAATATGCAATTTGAAAAGGTTGTTAAAAACTGTAGATGGGAAAAGGATTGAGAGTCTCTCGGTACTATTAGAGTTTAAAGGCGAAGCTCTTCCTGATAAAATAAAAATTGGTTTCATGTGTTTTCCTGTCAGGCCTTACATCCCTCCTCCTCTGCGCTGTTACAAGTGCCAAAGATACGGTCACATTGCAGCAGTGTGCAAAGGGAAGCAAAGATGTGCAAAGTGTGGTGGAGATCATAGGTATGATGAATGTGGGAAAGATGTACAGTTGAAATGTTGTAACTGTGGAGGTCAGCATAGTGCAGCGTATGGGGGATGTGAAGTAAGGAAGAAGGCAGCAGAAATACAGCACATAAAAACTGTTAAAAACATTACTTATGCAGAAGCAACAAAAAAGGTGCAAGAAAAAAGAGCAGTGGGCCTACAGGGAAATCCTAAAGTTCCTCCTAGTCCAAAATCTGAATCCAGTCAAAGAGCAATGACAGGAATGGAAATTACAATGGATAAATTAATTCTGTTCATGGCTTATGTTATTAACTGCACTGATCAAGTGAAGCAAAAAACTGAAAAAATCAAAATCATAGTGAAAGGTGCAGAGAAATTTCTGTCTGTGAAGGATTTATCTTGGGAATCGATCAATAAAAAGCTAGAAACAGATGGAAAACTGGGCGAAGGAAGAATATAATGATTATTCTTCAATGGAATGCAAGGAGTTTATTAGCTAATGGTCAAGAATTTAAAGGATATTTAAACAATTCGAAAAGAAAACCAGACATAATTTGTGTTCAAGAAACATGGCTCAAACCAGAATTAGATTTTGTGATAAAAGGGTACGACAGTATTAGAAGAGACAGGGAGCAAGAGAGTGGAGGAGGATGTATAATATTTATAAAACAAGGAATACAATATAGATATTTAGAAAAAGGAATAACATTAGAATGGATATCTGTAGAAATTTGGATTAATAAAGAAAGTATTAAAATATTAAATTTTTATAATCCCTGTAAAAAACTTTATTTAGATCAAATGGAGGAAATGTTTAAAAATATTGAAGGAAAAGTAATCTGTTGTGGAGACTTTAATGCTTACAGTACTTTGTGGGGTAGTAGTAATGATGCTAATGGAGAGGTGGTGGAAGAAATAATGGATCTAAAGAATTTAGTTTGCCTTAATGATGGGGAGGGGACAAGATTCAATATTAGAAATGGATCTGAATCAGCATTAGATTTAACTTTAATTTCAGAGAGTCTTGCTGGGATCAGTAATTGGCAAGTATTAAAAGAATCAACTATAGGAAGTGATCATTATCCTATATTCATTGAAATCGGTTTGGAAATGGAAACATTTGATAATGTAGGTGTAGAAAGATGGATCTTTGGAAGTGCTGATTGGGAAAAATATAAAATAATAAGTGATAAAGAAATGCAAACAGTTAATATTGATTTAGATATTGACAATTTAAATCTTTCTATTTGTGAAGCCATTTTAGGTGCTGCACGTGAAACAGTCCAAAGAAAGAGAGGGAAATATAAGAAGAAAGTCGTACCGTGGTGGACAAAGGATTGTGATGTAGCAATAAAATCTCGAAATAAAGCTTTTAGATTGTTAAAAAGAAATCATAACTTTCAGAATTTTATTGAATATAAAAGGTTGCAAGCTCTTGTTAGAAGAACTGTAAAAAATGCAAAAAAGGTTTATTGGGGAAACTTTTGTAATTCGGTAGGTAGGGAAACAAACATTTCAAAAGTTTGGGGGATGATAAAACGAATGAATGGGTTTAGAAGAGAATATGGATATCCAGTTCTGAAGGATGGAGATGTTACTGCTGTAACAGAGGAAGAGAAGGCAAACATTTTGGTCAATCATTTTGTTAAAATCCACAATAGTAGTAATCTAAGTACAGAAGAGAAACGGAATAGAAATTGTACAATCAATGAAAATATTCATTTATTAAAAGAAAATATAAGATCCACTGACTTATTAAATGCTCCCTTTTCCTTTTTTGAACTGAATAATGCCCTTAGGAAATCAAAAAACTCATCTCCAGGAAATGACAATATCTCTTACATTATGATTAATCAGCTTAGTAATTCATCTAAAAAAGTTTTACTGGAATTATATAATAAGATCTGGGAATTAGGCTTTTTACCTAAAGCATGGAAAGAAGCAATCATAGTTCCAATCCTCAAATCAGGTAAAGAACGATCAAACCCAGCCAGTTATAGACCTATAGCTTTAACTTCACATTTATGTAAAATTATGGAGAGAATGATAAATGAACGACTGACTTACTTTGTTGAGAAGAGGGGATATTTATCAAGATTCCAAAGTGGATTTAGAAAAGGTAGAAACACTATGGATCCTGTTTTATGTTTAGAACATGAAATCAGGAAAGGACAAGTTAATAAGGAGAGTGTGGTGGCTGTCTTTTTTGATATAGAGAAAGCTTACGATATGATGTGGAAGGAAGGTTTATTAATAAAACTAAAAAAGATGGGAATAAATGGTTCAATGTTTTATTGGATAAAAGATTTTTTACAAGATCGATCAATACAAGTGAGAATAGGAAAAACATTTTCAGAAAAATTTTTGGTTGAAAATGGAACTCCCCAAGGAAGTATATTGAGCCCATTGTTTTTTTCTATTATGATTAATGATATGTTTGAAAATTTGGAGAATGGAATGGGGTTTTCTTTATTTGCTGATGATGGGGCAATCTGGAAGAGGGGGAAAAATTTAAATTATATTGTAAAAAAGACACAAGAAGCAATTAATGAAATAGAAAACTGGTCCTTTAAATGGGGATTCAAAATTTCTATAGATAAAACGAAGACTTTATTTTTTACAAGAAAAAAGGTATCAGAAAATGTAAAATTGAAAATATATAATCATGATTTGGAAAGGGTATACCAATTTAAGTTTTTGGGTATATGGTTAGATGACAAACTTACTTGGAAAGTGCATATTCAAAACATAATAGATAAATGTAAGAGAGTGTTAAATGTAATGAGGTGTTTGGTGGGGAGTGAGTGGGGAGCTGAGAGGAAATCACTGAAATCAATATACACAGGTTTAATTAGGTCCTTATTTGATTATGGCAGTATAGCATTTGGGTCAGCATCAGATACATTACTCAAAAAATTAGATAATATTCAGCATCAAGCCTTGAGATTATGTACAGGTGCCATCAGAACAACTCCAACATCAGCTTTACTGGTGGAAATGGGAGAAATGCCACTTCAGCTTAGAAGATTACAAATACTTTCAACTTACTGGTGTCAGTTAAAAGGTCATAATGGAAATCATCCATGTCAAGAGATTTTAAAACCTAGCTGGGAAAAAGAGAAAAAGAAATTAAATTCATTTGGCTGGACTGTAGAAAACATTATAAAAGATTTAGATATATCTCACATAAATATTAGTCAAACAGTTCCTCAGTCTCCAGTTCACCCATCTCTTTTAAGTAATAGTGATGTTGATCTCACTTTGTTGGAAAATCGTAAAAAAGAAAACATTTCAGATTCTCATTCAATACAAACATATTTAGATAGTAAGTATTATGGATATGTTAAAATTTATACAGATGCATCAAAAAATTCAAATAACAGTAGCGGGGTTTCATTCATTGTTCCAGAATTCAGTTTCAAAACAGGTAAAAGAATTACTGATGGAGTCTCAGTCTACACAGGAGAGATGATGGGAATCATTTTAGCTCTGGGATGGATTGAGGAAGTTCGTCCATTAAGGAGTATAATATGTTCTGATTCAAGTTCTTCATTATACTCATTGAAAAATAATCATTCAGACAGCAGACCTGACCTTTTATTAGAAATTCAATTATTAATTTATAGAATTCAAGCGATGGGTTTATTAATTACATTTATATGGATACCATCACATATAGGAATACAAGGAAATGAGTTGGCAGATAAATATGCAAAACAAGCAACAAAAAATACTTACATTGATATACTGGTACCATTCAGTAAAGGAGAAATCAAATCAGTTATTAAACAAAAGGTGAAGGAAAGATGGCAGAAACAGTGGGAAGAAGAAAGAACTGGCAGGTGGTTTTATAACATTCAAAGGAAAGTTGGTGTGATGAGGAGAACAGGACGAAATAGAAAGGAGGAAACAGTCATATCCAGATTGCGTTTTGGCCACACAAGATTAAACAGTACATTGTTTAAAATGGGAAAACATCCTACAGGAAAATGTGACTTTTGTTTTCAAGAAGAGACAGTGAATCATGTTTTATTATTCTGTCCCAAATATTCAGCTGAGAGGAAGGAACTGGCACATAGACTACAGGTCAACAAAGTACAGTTGAATATACAGGATCTTTTGGATAAACTTCTCACTTCTGAACTTGTTGTTTTTTTGTTAAGCTACCTTAAGAAGACGGAAATAATCGAGAGAATATAGTTTTTTTTTTTTTTTTTCTCTTATTTTCTTATTATTTTATTTAGTTAAACCTATAGTAATTATTTAGCATCCCGATCCATACTCCATTCCAGTAGATGGCGGTAATGCACATCTAAACGTTGCTTGCCAACCGCCATAAAACACAAGACGAAGAAGAAGAAGAAGAACCGACTTGCTTTCTTTCGAACTATCGGCGTGGCGTTATTTGGCTGTGTTTATTCACTTAATCCTTAAACGTATTTTGTGTCTTTTTGTGTGTTTTCGCCCCCGTCGAGTTCAAAATGATCCTCACCGTGAAGCCGCTTCAAGGAAAAGAGTGCAGTGTTCAGGTGAGTTCAGTCGAGCTAGGAGGAGCACGGTGTCTCGCCAGCTGTGTGTGGTGGCTGCTTCACTAAATGCTCTCATCATTTGAGAGCATTTAGTGCACATTTACATTTAATATTTATTCAAATTTGGCAAATGTGAATAAAACAAACGTGTGGTTGTTGAGTTAGACAATGGGTTAAACACCTTTGTTTTGTGTAGCTTATATGGGGGTGGTTTGGTTAACATCCGCTGCTAGCTAAATGTTAACTTGAGCTATCCTGTTCGTTGTCAGAGACTGCACAAAGAGGCCTCAGACATGAGGAGGGAAACATTTATTTTATGTGTATTAAGGGAAGTCACTAAGGTTATGCCTCACATTAACGTTTTAATGTGGAGTTATCCCAGTATAGTAACATAAATATAGTGGAGAAGTTTAAACTCAGCTTTAAACAATTAAAACATTGTCGCTAAGCACTTAACAAGACTAATGCTTTTTTAAAACACTACTTAAGCTTTTCATTTCGGACTATACTTTGCTTTTTGCAACTTCATCATATGTGCACTAACAGTTTTCCTCAGTTTATTGGCTTTCTTACACTCATAATCAGAGGTGAGGAGACTTTAGCTGCTGCAAAAAAGAGATGGAGGGAATTTGTTAGATATTCAGAAAAGAGCAGAGTACCCACTCCCCACACACAAATAAATAAAAAAGCAACCCACTTATTTTAAATTCAGGAAAGTCAAAGCATTGGCTGAAGTTTTGAAAGTCTCAAACGCAACAAGTCTTTGCATCGTCCACATTGTGTCTCAGACGAACGCTAACATTTTATTCTCATATCAATTAACAAAATATATTTATGTGAAACAAATACTATACTTGGTTTGGACAAAGTTTTTGTAGAAACACAAGACCTATTAAAGTCATGTTTAATATCAGCCAATGTGATTTACTCTGCTTGAAATGTCACTTCATTCATTCACTGTCAGGACAATATCCTCTCTTGTAATTTCTTTTACACATTTAAGAACTAATTAAATATTTAACAGTGAGGTACAACCAGCAAATGTCCTCAGACTAAGCTTTCAGTTATGCTTATGTGTACAGAATGTAATTTGTGTCAATTTGATTAGAAACATATGGTAATTATAAAAATAACAAGGCAATATGAAATACATCTTATAGTTTTCACCATCATGTGTTTAAACTTCACTGTGAAGTAACATATTGATTCTGGTTTATTTAATTATGGAGTCAACAATAAAATATTAATGACAAGATTATTAAGGATTGTTGATGTTGTTATTATTAGACATATATTAGGCTCTCCTCCATATGTGTGCCTGGCAATGCTTTAATGTAAATACCGTACTGTCTGTGGCCTAAAAGAAAACAGAATTCCTTTGACAGTAAGGAATTGTTTATTTTGTCATTTAAAGTGTTTTATTTCAGACTGAAGACAGAATTTCAGATTGTCTTGTGTCAAATATTTCTTTGCGTTGTAAGAATGTTACACACTGAAACAACATCAACAAGCAGCTTTGACCAAACCGCCCTGCTTTGCTTCTATTACCAGTTTCACAGCAACATACTGCAAAGGCTATATCATCTCCTGACCACAAAATATAATCTGATCCTGCATAAGAGGACAAAACTGCAGTGCAGAGAGGATCTGTGTGTGGTTTATTCTTTAGCTAGATATAAAAATATGAATAATTTATTACCTCACTTTCAGTTTGCTTGAAGTTGGGTCATTATTTGTTCAGGAATACAACAGATTTAGTGAAATTAGGCCTGTTTTGAAATCTAAAACGTGCACTCCTGTATCTATTAATGCATTATAAGGGTTGTTTTGCACATGTATGCTTATGTACATTTTAGCCTTCATGCAATTACCAAAAGGGGTATTTTGTTAATTGAACCTCAGCCTTTCCCTCCTCCATCAAAGATGTAAGAAAAACACAAATTCAGTTAAACATGTAATGATATGAGATCATTAATTTGATCACAGCTCCACAGAAAAGCCTCCTCACTTCTCTGTGAAACATAATTTTAGGAATTCAGGTGTCCCTCAAGACTGAACGCTGTGAGATCAATATCTGGGTAACAGGCAGCAATATAAAGAGGAGAGAAGACACGGTCGATTTGAAATGTAGGAAAATCAAAGAGTCATGTCACTGTGTTGTTGATCTTGTAGGTTACTGAAGATGAAAAAGTCTCTACTGTGAAGGAACTTGTGTCTGAGCGACTGAACATACCTGCAAACCAGCAGCGGTTACTCTACAAAGGAAAAGCGCTTGCAGGTAGCTTAGCCAGAAAATTGAATTTGGATATTTTCAACATCTTTTTAGCTGTTTCAGACAGTTACAGTTTTGTTAAAGGAATATTTCTTTCCTTCAGATGAACACATGCTGAGCGATTACTCCATCGGACCAGAAGCTAAATTGAACCTGGTTATCCGTCCTGTGGGGGAGAGGAGTGCCGGCTCTGGACTGGCCGGCAGCAGCACACACGGAGGAGTGTGGCAGACTGTGTCCACTATACTGGCCAGACACTTCAGTCCAGCAGATGCAGCAAGAGTCCACGAACAACTTATAAAGGTATTAAAGTGTCACCTTTCCATTTAAACATGATAATCTGATTAAAGTTAATTTTTTGCCTCTTTATCCAGAAAAGTGATTAGGTGTGATTATTTAGTTGTTTAAAAGCTAAATGCTCGTTTCCAGTTTTGAACAAGTACAGAGTTTCATAAACTTAACAATGCTCATACTTAAACAAAAATAACAATTTAGCATCAAGCTTGTGTTTCTTTAACCTATATTACCATTAATTAAAAAAGCAAACTTTTTTCTATCAAATTATTGTGCAGTTTTAGGAAGACCAGCTTCTTTAGTTCGGTCTTAATTGCTGTGTTAGGTCACTTCATCAAGGTTCTTTGTCATTCGCATCACATGTGGTACATGAGGTGGAACGAAATTGTGTACTCAAGGTCCCAGTTACACTCCAAAATAACAAAAATATAAAGTATTAAAAAGGACAGTATACAAGGATCTAAGATAAACGTTAAACAATAATAATGTAAAATAATAGTGTATTAAACAGCAGCCTGAGCATGAGTCTGTTGTGAGCAAATGGGTATGACTATAGCAGCTTATGGGTAAGAAAATCAGCAGCACAGATAAAGTGTACAATCTCCAATTAAAGTGTAATTACAGTGATTATCCTGGTTAGGGATTCATGAGTCTTAACAGCCTCAGGGTAGAAGCTGTTCCTCAGTCTAGTGGTTCTGCAGTTAATGCTCCTCAACCTCCTTCCTGAGGGGAGCGGGGCAAAAAGTGTGTGCTGGGTGATTGGGGTCCTTCATGATGCAGGTGGTCCTCTTCCTGCATCTGGAGGTGTAGATGTCTGTGATGGTGGGGAGGCTGACTCCAACAGTCTTCTGTGCAGCCTTCACCACTCTCTGCAAAGCTTTTCTTTCTGCAGCTGTGCAGCCTCCATGCCACACGTTGATGCTGGAGCACAGGATGCTCTCCACTGCACACCTGTAGAAGGAGGTGAGGACTGAGCTTCCCAGTCCAGCTCATCTCGGCCGCCCGAGGAAGTAGAGTCACTGTTTCATTGTCATCTCATGGCTGTTTCCTGTAACAAACCTTGCTTCTCTTTGTCTCCTCCCCTTTACTGAGCCAGAAGGAACTGCAGAGTCTGACGGGCAGTTTTATTTCCTCTTTCACAAAATCCCCATCATGTTGTGTATTAAATATGTACCAACAGAAGAGTCAAGTTCTTATTATACCATATGTAATATATATATATATATATATATATATATATATATATATATATTAGGGCATTAACAGAGTACTCGAGTAATCTACACATTGATTGCTAGGACCTCTATCGATGTTAAAAATGTTACGTCGAGTATCCGTAGTGACGTCATATTATGTGACCACCGTATGACCGTAGGGGGCAGTGTTGCACTGTTGCAGGTCACAGAGTATGGTGTAACACCGGGTCCAATCCACCGAACTGGTTTCGGTTTAAGTTTCGTTTTTGACGTGCTGCACGTTTCTTCACGTTTGCAGTTTAATAATAAAAACTAATAGTTTAGTTTTTCCTGTGACTTATTTGCAGTATGATAAATGGTAGGAGCATAATATATGCTCCCAATGTTTTGTTGGTCTTTTTTTGTAAATAATTACCTTTTTTTGTGGTTTTATTTCTTTATTTATTTTTGTATCTTGAGATCTATGACGTCATCAAATACTCGAGTTCTACTCTGGTTTTATTATGTTAATGTCGAGTTTAAAAATTTTATACTCGTTCAACCCCTACTGCGTATGCGTACTCGGTGTCGGACAATAAACTGCCCGGCGGACTGTTCTGTTTGTGATACCAATGTATTAAATTCCCCTTCTTCATCCCTGATCTGTTTTAATGGCTGTTTATTTTCTTTGTTAGTTTTTTTGCCAAAAGGCAAGCGATCTCTCCTCGTCGATGCCATGACTGAAATGGTGAGAAATTAAGGAATTTGTCACGAGCG